GTGGACTGGGGTCGTCGTAGGTACTCGTCGATCTCCCGAGGGCGTTCACCATACCGGGGGCGCGGGTCGTTTGGGTGGAACCCGCGCAGCCCGAGTCGTCGGTATGGGCATCGGCGGTACACATGGTCGGGTTCCCCGCAGTGGTAGCAGAGCGGGCGTCGGTCGGTCGTTCGCCACACGTCGGTCTTCCTCGACGAGAGTTGCTCCGGGCGGACGTCCTGGACTTGCCCTTCCTGGCGTCGAGGATACTGTAGCATCGGAGGGTCTCGTCGGGGTGGCGCCGTGGCCTGGCGGTTAGCTTGCGGCGGTCGTCGGGCCATGGCGGCGTAGCTCAAAGTCGGCTCCTCTGGCGTCGACATGTTGATCGGAACCTCAGGTTGGAAGGCCCGATGAACTTCATCTCGCACGACCTCGGCGAGCGACAGGGAGGACGGGCGATCCATAGCGGGGAGCATCTTGCGGATTTCTTCCCGGACGACTTCACGGATGATGTCACGGATGCCTGGGAGGTCGGTACCAAGGTTGTATCCGGATGTCGCCAGAGTAGTCACGCCAGGGTGTCGCTCGTAGTGCCTGGCGCGTGCTAGTAGGGCACGTTCCATACTCGTCGCCTCCGTGACGAACCCGTCCACAGTTGTCGGGGGATTGCGAATGAGACCTCCGAATATCTCGCTTTTCACACCCCTCATCAGGTGTCGCAGCTTCTTCTCCTCTGTAGCCTGAGGATCGGCGCGGGCGCTCAGGCGAAGAACATCCTCGACGAAGCCGGTGACGCTCTCGTTGGGGCCCTGGGTTCTGGTTCGCAGTAGGTCCTCGGCTCTCTCTCGGCGGTGGTGGTTGCTGAACGTAGCCTTGAGATCGGTCTTGAACATGTCCCACGACGTCAAAGAGGACTCATGATTCTCGTACCAGTGCTTGGCGGTACCCTCAAGCGAAAAATAGACGTTGTTCAGGCGCTGCTCGTCGGTCCAGCAATTGTGGCGGGCAACGCGTTCATACTGGTCAATCCAGTCTTCGACGTCTTCGTATTGCTCGCCGTGGAATGGAGCAGCCGTCCGCGGTACGACGGGCAGGTAAACGACGGCTGGAGCGGCCGGGGTCTCCGACTGGTTGGCCATCGTCGTCCTCCTTGTTTGCCTGGTCCTGGGTGGCAAGGGTCCTAACTCCGGGGGTAGGCCAAGGTTCCGGCGACTTAATCGGGTCTCGGTCTGGTCCTCGTTGGGTTCTTGGGGGCTTGTGTTCGGACTTGCACTCCGAGAACTCGGAGGGGAGCGCTGCACGGGCATGCGGTTACCCAGCACCTCCACCAAAATGTCACGGGTGGTGACCAGAATAACAATAAATAAACAGGAAGAACTAAACGTTTAATGTGGCGAACTTGTGCCAAAACAAAAAGAGAATAGAAAATAATAACAAAGCGTCGCGAGCGTCGAGGTCGGCGAGACAGCAGAGTCGAGCGCTGGGGCGAAAACTGACTCGACAAGGTCGCGGGCGGCCTCTTATCTAGAGTGAGTCACTGTCTCGAAGATTCGGCGGAGAAGGTTCGAGCGTAGCGCGCTCGGGGCGAGAATGAACAAGCACTTTCCAGAACAACAAAAACAAGGATGAACGATAGTTATGGCCGCAGCAAGAATGAACGAGAACTTTCTACAAGTCCGTGACCCTGCGCGCGGCAATATGACAAAGTGCTCTGTGAGGGGGAGGGGGGAGAGGAGGCCCCAGCAAAATGGAAGATTTCGGAAGGGGGGGGGGGGGGGGCGGGCCGTATGCCCCCCCCCCCCCCTGGCTACGTGCCTGACGAGAAGGGGTATTGTAGTTTTACATCTTTATAAAAAGGTGTAGTGCATTATCACACGTTTCATTAAACGTGTTTGAAAAAATCACACACGTTTAAAGGTGTGAGGTTTTGATTTTTTATAAGGTCTATTGCTACTCTTACTAGGGTGTTAGTTATAGTACACACAACTTAAATGTATAGCCTGATGAGAAGGGGTATTGTAGTTTTACATCTTTATAAAAAAGGTGTAGTGCATTAACACACGTTTTAAGAAACGTGTTTAAAAAATCCCACATTTTTAGAGGTGTGAGGTTTACATTTCTTTTATAAGGTCCATCGCTACATTTATTAGGGTGTTAGTTATGGGACACCCCACTTACATGTTTAAAGGTGTGAAAATGTTTAATTGGTATATACCTCTAACGGAAGAAAATCTCTTTCATGTGATTACATCGCGTGCCGATGAAACGATCTGTCGATGACACGTCGTTCAATGAACTGATTTGACCACCAATGAGCGACGACTGCCAGTAGAATTTCGGGGAAATAATTCTGCCGGCTGCCGGGATACTTGATCCTACCCAAGAAGTACCCCGTTTCTTGTTTGTTTCCCAACATTCTTAATTATATACCAGCTTATTAGTACCTCTTCGGATATTACAGAAAAACAAACAAAAAACGATGGCAGCCGCAGAAACTCTGACAGCCCGGCTCACAGTCATGTGGGAGACTGACAAGTTCTCGTCAGTCGCCACCATGCCTTGAAAGCTACCAGTTCCGAAGAACCGGAGCGCGCAGAGAACTTGTTCCACGGTCATGGTAGACGCGATTGTCCGCCGCCTCGAAGTCCGGGCACCGAACGAAGCTCGTCGCAGAGTCAACGCACAACGGCTTTCGATAGCCGGTACTGTCGCCGAAGGTCGTCGTCGGAGAGCTGAAAGGCATCCCCGGTGGTCTCAGTAGCGACGCCGACGGTGACGGAAGATAAGCTCGGCCGCAGCGTACGGCACCGCCATGTTCACAAAGTTTAACTTCGCCTCGATCCGAAGCGAAAATCTCGAGCTCAATCCACGGCTCTCGCAAAGTTCGGAAATGTCACTTTGACGTCAGCGACAACTTCGACAAACAAGGTTTCTTTTTTACGCAAACTTCGGAGGGAGTTTGAACGTCAGCAGGTCACCTAGGGACAATCTGTAAAGCATTAATTTTAGCTTGGCGTAGGGATGTAGGGACAAAGGGGCGCTACGTCATCGGCGAAGCCGTTCAATCAGCGGGCTCCTCGCGCCCCTCACGCCCTGCACGCGCGCCTCGATGAACTTTGCTACATTCTGCCTCTCTCAAAGAAATGAGCGTTCGAATGATTGACACCTCGCTCGGCGCGACGTCAGCGTCGCGAGTGTGCAATTAGCACGTTCCGCAAACTTCGGGCACAAAGTTGTGCTTGACGAGTTTAGCGGCCTGTTGGTGTCAAACCGGCGGTCGTGAATGGGCCAGATGCGTATTCTGCCGCAGCTCGCTCCCCGCTTGACTGTTTACAGAAACATTGACAGTGAGAATTTGGGGCGACGCGGCGACAGCGACACTCGTGTTCGCTTGTACTTTTTTTTCCGGGACCTCCAGCCCCAGCTGCAAGGACATCTGTTGCCACTTTGGGTCTGTCTTTGATGTATGGGCGACAATGACGCTAATTGTACCATTCGACCACGCGTTTTAGGCACCTTACTTTGGGTGGCAGAGTTCAAACTTCGACACTGTGTAGAAGCTAGCGAAACTAAGCTTTTCATTTATTTCTCTCATGAAAAAAAAAAAAAAAAACACACACACACACAGCAACAATTCACTGTTTTTCTGAAATTACATCCGCCATTACCGAACTTGTCAGTGTTCCAATGCTGGAGAGACATTTAAGAAGAACGAATGACTTGGCAGCCTGTTGAGAGCATGGTAGAGTCGGATATCCGACTCTACGTCCCTCTTTGTATTTCGCCGATTTGCGAAATATTTACCGGCAGGTATTTATGTGCTTGTCTCTGATTTATATTAAAATACAAAAACCTTTGTATGAACCGATGAAATTCATATTGTCTTGACGCATAGCGGCCAGAGTTGTGAAGGTCGTTCATTAAGGTACCAATTCGATCAATAAAGATTTTATCGCGGACTGGGTTTCTTAAAATTATCAAATTGAAACGATTGGACCTGCAAATGGATGATTGTCACACACACTAGTATTATCATACCACATACTATTCTTATTTTATTTATTCGTCGCGAACACTAGCAAAAAACTTCCTTAACCCTGCCAGTTCTGCGTTTTCTCGAGAAAGCTGTGCACCATTGAACATTTATGTTCAACAGACATGTATGACCTTCCTGACGCCCGACATATATTTTCTGCCTGGTGCTTCATTACTCCGCTATTTCTCTTGTTTCATAATGTAGTTGCATTAATTAATTGTACCACATTCGTCACGCAATCGGGAAGTTTCTCTCGAAGATTGAGCGTGGCCCGCAATGCTCGCATAAGGGAAGGTGGTAAACGTAAAGGGGCACCAGAAGACAATTGCGTTAATAAATAACATGAGACAATGCCTATAATTAAAATAAGATTAAAAAAATACTTTAAAAGGCCTACAAGATACTGGTAATCAGCCTTCTTCTAATGGGTTCATAGAATTCTTCCACGCAGTAATATTGTTTCAGTCCTATGAACGACTTGAATACTTTGATAATTTTATAGCGTGTGACAATTCTTTATTTTCACGTGTAATGGGACACAATTTCTGTCTCTTTTCCTGGCTGTAAAGTTCGTGAATTGCATACGTGAGGGCGCACACAGATTTCTATTTACTTCAACAATGTTATGCCAATGGATCATACTCGTGCGGTAATTAACGTCCTCTGAGCAACGCAAAAATATTCTGAAGAAATTAAAAAAAAAGGTGTTGCCTGCGCGGTTAATGTAAACGCGATCGTGAATTCGTTTCGAGTAAAGCAGAAAAAAAAAAACTTCCAGATTCCTTATTAATAGATATTTGAAAACAAAACAAAACGAAGGCTTGTTCGTAAACTCAATATGTGCTCGCTAGACATATTTATTTCCCGACCAAGGATTTTGTTTATTTTGTCTACTTAAACTATTGCATAATACCAAAAGCTCTACTTGCAAATGTCAAAAATATATGGCTGTACGTTGGTTTTATTGTGTCGGACCTCTATCGGTTATAATCTCCATGCAGCGGTTTCCATCGCTGCACTACTCTGGGAAACTGACACGTGCCGCCGTTCAACTCATATCGATGGCTATGCCCCTAGCTGCTCCCGTTATCAATAGCTGCTGACGTGCTCTTTGTCGTTGGCTCAGGCTGTTTGCTCAAAAGCAGCTAATCAGCTTCCAACGAACGCTGAGATTTGTTAGTGTGCGGTAGAAGCATCAAGTCTCGCCATGGATCTCCCGAGGGAATACAGAAGGCTGGTTTGCGTCAAGATAACTCCCCACTTCAGAGAAGCCGTGTCCGTCGTCACGGAACGGACTCCTAAACTGGAACGCGATGAAGTCTTCCTGAAAACCAAGTACGTCGGTATCAACGCTTCGGACGTGAACAACACCGCGGCAAGGTACTGGGCAGCAACACCGCCTTTTAACGTCGGCGTCGAGTCCGTGGCCGAAGTGGTTGCAGTCGGCGATGACGTCACACACCTCAGCGTCGGCAGTGCAGTGGCAACAATCAACTTCCCTGGTTTTGGAGCTTTCTCGGAGTACCAATGTGTTCCAGCGTCAAAAGTTCTTCCGATTCCGCGAGCAGTGCCCGACAGCATACCTCTTCTAATAAGTGGACTGACTGCTGCAATCGGCTTGGACGAGCAAGGCAGAATAAAAGAGGGCGAAACGGTCTTGATCACCGCCGCCGCAGGCGGGCTAGGTCACATCGCCGTGCAGTGGGCCAAAGCAGCAAAATGCCACGTCATCGGCACATGCTCTTCTCCAGACAAGGAGGAGTTCCTAAAAAGCATCGGTTGTGACAAAGTCATCAATTACAAGACTCACGACCTAGGGGCGGAGCTGGATAAAAGCTACCCGAAGGGGGTAGACGTCGTCTGGGAAACCATCGGAGGCAAGACGTTCGAAGTTCTCTTGAATCATTTGAGCATCAGGGGAAGACTAGTAGTAGTAGGCGCCATTACGGGATACCTGAACAGTGACAATGGTTTCCCTGATGTGGACCTCCCAGATCTGCCCTCCAGGCTTCTGATTCGGTCAGCCAGTGTGAGCGGATTTTTTATGACGCAATACTATCATTTGTACCCGGAGTATATGGCGAGGCTCAATAATATGTTGCAGGATGGCAAGATTGTTCCGAAGGTGGACTTTGGGATCAACAATGACGGTGGCGAGTTAAAGGGGCTTGAAGGCTGTGTTCGAGGCGTCGAGTATCTTCACTCCGGGAAAAGTATCGGCAAGGTAGTTGTGAAGCTCGATTAACTTGTGCAGTTTTATTACTACGTCACACCGGACAGTCTCTCTGTTCCGAGGTTTTCTTAGCTCGACACTGAGTATGCGTACTTCTCTGGGGTGATAAATTATATTTTCAGTTGAAAAAAATGTCGGGTAATCATCAAAACGACGAACTCATGACGTGTTCAGTTTTGTGCATGGTGATGGACATCAAGCGTCAGCGTTATATTGTGTTTCAGTAGGTGTTTTATTTTGTCTTAATATCGAGAACAACGAACTTTCTTTGCAGCGAAGCGCATGCTGTTTGGTTTATATGCGTAAACAACAGAAGTTATTATGAAAGTAAACTAAGGGCATAACTGGTTTTTTCACAATCCTTAAAGTTGGATACCTTTTTTTGACTTAGTATCATGTAAGCAATTCTGACATGAATTTACGCAAACGCGCACCGGCTCCCGCACGTGAACTATACGCAATGTACAGTCTCGGGCAATATGAAAAACCCACTGGGAGCGCGTGGCCGAGGCGGTGGCCGGCGGGGGCGCTGGGAACGCTCCGGGCAATTCCATTCTGCTTCGAGGGAAGGACGCTCACTCGGGCCCAGCTAAAGCGAAACGCGCCTACAGATTGTGCTGAGCCCCGAGTGAGCGTCCTTCCCTCGAAGCAGAATGGAATTGCCCGGAGCGCTCGCAGCGCCCCCGCCAGCCACCGCCTCGGCCACACGCTCCCAGCGGGTCTTTCATATTGCCGGAGACTGTACATCATTGCATTTTAATGCAGCATAAATGCGCGAAAAATATTTCCTTAAATGTGACCTGCCAGTATGAACGAATTGCCTGTTTTGTTCCTGTTTTTTCTGTGAACCTGGTATCTTATTAGAATATTTATATATCAGGGAAACATAGACCACCCTTTATCACTAATGTCTATAAAAAAACTGGTGATAGATTTTCTCGCAAATTTAGGTGCTGGAAATACTATAGGAATTGTACAGTGTTCAAGAAAGACTATTGGATATTTAAATTTATTTCTATTATTTTTCATTTTATTGATTTCACTCTCTACTTATTTCGGAAGGCGTGGTAGGAGTGTAATAAGATGGTGAACTGGGCCAGTTGGTTGACGTTATACATGGTGGGAAAAACAGCTCAGAAACCACGGACTACGAAAAGGAACAAACACGACAGGACAATGTTGTACTCGCAACTGAAGAATTTTAATAAAGGAAACTAAGACAGAAAAAACATATCTTAAAAGATTGCGGAAAAACAGAGGACAACTCTCGCCACCCGCGAAGCGTGTCAATAAACTATCTTTCACTATGTTACTCATTTGTTGCCGCAGGAAGGAAATATCTTTGGCTGATAGCGCCAATGACGGTTGTTAGTGAACCGTCATTGGCGCTGTCAGGCATGGAGATTTCCTTCCTGCGGCAAAAAATGAGTCACACAGTGAACGGGTAGTTTATTGACAGGCTTCACGGTTGGCAAGAGTGGTCCTTTGTTTGTGTGCAATCGTTTACGATATATTTTTTCTGTCTTTGTTTCTTTTATTAAAATTCTTCAGTTGCAAGTACAGCATTGTCCTGTCGTGTTTGTTCCTCTTCCTAGCCCGTGTTTTTTAGCTGTTTTCTCCCCCATGGTAGGAGCGGTTTACAACTTATTTTACACAAAACAATAAACAAAATACATCAGGTAACAAGCACGAGCATATTAGTTCTAGCTGATCCAAAAACACATAAATGGTTGAACATGTGAAAAACACAGTGTAATGCAAAGACTATCTTCACTGTTCTCCCGAGGGTCTCTGGGTATGACGTAAACTACTACATTGTTGCGTGGGCTACGGTTTTCGAGGTCGTCAACCTTATTTCCAGTTGCGCAATTGTTGATGTTAAGTGGAAAACGATGTTAGATAGCTCACCATTTCTAGTCTCACGATTTCAAGAGATTTCGCCGTTCTCCTAACTTCGTCAATGGTAGTTTCGATAGTAGAAACCCATTTGTTTATGCCGTTAAACGTCTCCTTTAGGCTTAGCTGTTCCCTCCGCACTTCTTTTACGTTCTTGGCAACATCCTTCTGACCTCTCAGGACATCCTTTATGGCTTCCGTATTTGGGTCCTGGGTTACCCCTAACGTCCCCCGCTAAGAGTAACAAGAAGCTGCACTGAATGGACACAATCTGCTTGGATACTAAAGAATGTGCTGGGGGATCGGTGGCCGAGTGGTCTAGCGCACACCAGCTCGGAGCACGTGGAGCGAAAGCTCGCGCTGCAGAACCCAGGGATCCTGGGTTCGAGCCCCACCCCTGCCCGTTTCGATCTGGATGAGCATCGTACCGGCGTGCGGTCGTGTATCACTACTGCGTGATGCACGTTAAAGACCCCAGGCTAGCGGCTGTACCGCACTGGCTAAATTTCTCATCTACAGCTGGGAGACTCGTCGCCCCTGTGAGGCAGACCAAGTTCTAGGCTGTATAAACACACACACAACCCAATTTTTTTTTAAAGAATGTGCTGGGCGTGGCATCAGAATGAGACGGACATCGTTACTTTTAAAATCACGGTAGTCCAGATAGTTTATACTAACCTGCGTGGTCAGAAAGAACTGTTTAGCCGTCTGCAACAATGTGATCAATACGGCGACAAAGAGAGGAAGGAAATGGAAGGAGACAAGGAGAAAATGGGAAGAAAAAGAAGTGGAGGAGAACAGGGAGATTCAGGGCGGAGAGCGAACACATTCGGAAAAGCTTGGCTCCAAAAGACACTGGCGAAGCTGTCATTCATAGGAGTCTGCAGACCTGTCCTCACCGTCAACTCTGAATGGCAAGCCTGGCTTAAGAGCGAACCGGCAAAGCCATCCCAACAACCGGTTGACTGGTCACCATCGGTACGCCGGCAGCTGGAGCAAAACGAGACCGGCTTCTACCACCAGTGTAAAGCAGTGCCAACCTCGGCAAGTCGAACTTTGGATGTACGCCATTTTCTTTTATTTATTTGCTAATAAGTTTCCTTTTTTTTTCTTTACGGGGATTCGGAAAGTAGAACAGCAACTGGGTGCAAATATATTTCTTTGATGTCAAAAATCAGAATGACATCTCAGTTTCCTTTCTTTTTACCATAAAGGACCTGACACCACCATACTTCGTGTTGCGCTGCCATGCTCACTGGCGAGACTGGATGAGTGAGGCTTTTGTAGGAGAAGGCGCTGGCAACGGGAATGAAGGTGACGCCACGAAGCCACGAGGTCCGGGTGCATCCGGGTGATGGGCGAATGGTGACGCAAGGTCTTGACGCCGCATTTGTGAAGTTGAACAAGGGCCAGATGCAGGATCGTGTCCAGCGGGTGTCAGCTACAGCTATATGATCAGGCATAATCATTTAGCCGTCATGCTCCGTGTTGTTCTGCCATGCCCACCATTATTCGCGATGCTTGTGACCATTCGTCTAAAAAATCCTCGCTCCGACAAGATTTCGGCACAGGGCATGACAGCACAACATGGAGTATGACAGCTGAACAGTTCTTCCTGATATATGCAGAATATAGAGAATGATTATGCTCTATTTTTCCAACTAATCGACTTCCCGCGAATTCATTTCTGTACTCGAATTTCACCAAGCTGTCACGACAAAAAAAAAATATATATATATATTTGAAACGTGCATTGCTTTTAACGACTTCTCTGCACACGCGGAACTATTCTGTTTTTGGGTGAGAAAGGAGGTTTGCAATTAATTATGATAGTGGTATTCGGGCCGAACCGTGTTTTCAGTACAAAAACACTTAATATACTTTACTTTTGAAGCAATAAAAATCCAACTAGTTTTTTTTCTAAGTTTCAGGTATAATATTAAAAATATCGAAATTAATGTCTACATATCAAAACTTTGGCGAGACATGTATAAAGAAAACTGACACTGAGTCAAATGACCACGGTGAATAATGTGTTATTGGTAGGTCAGTGCCATGAAAGGGTATTGAATGTTGTTTTAGGCTGCACATTGTGGTTGGTGTAGTTAGCAATATGTTCTGTCAGCTGTCAGAACGATGTATGAAGAACGAACATTACACTTAGACTGCGATATAATTACCTAATAATAGGTTCAGTGTTTATATACTTATTTGTGATGAAATCCTGGGGGATGTCCTTCCAGCTAATGTTTCATTAAAAAATAACCCTGTGTTTACCGCAACTTAATTCTGTGAAGTTCTAATTTCTCTTCAATGCAGATTATATACCAGTTTATTATAAAAACTGCACTATTTTTCACTAATAACTTGACCAATCCAGTCAAACATAAAAACGACTCTGAAATACAGTTAAATTTATTTGTGAGAAATAGTTATTGGAACGTAAGAAATCATAACCCCTACTTATACAGATACATTCATCCTTCTACCTTTATAAGGTACCGGTGATATGTTCAAAACTAGGAACCGAAAGAGTGGATCAAATATTCCCAGGCTCAGTTGGGTTCAGTCGTTACTAAAATATTTAGCAACATTGAGCAGATGTCGTGAAATCGCGCTAACAATTATTTTTTTTGTTGTTGTTTTTTCTTAATTCCTGGCTCGACTTTAAAAAAAAATTGGATTACCATTACTGATTTGAATTTTTAACTAAAAACTAAATTAATATAGCAAAAAATTTATACACTGATTTTGAATAATAATGTTTTTTTTTCGTATAAAGCAGAAAAAACTGAACTTTCTCGACAACTACGTTTTTGTGTTCATTCTGCCGTATCCAAAAACACAAAATTCTACGTATAAACTGAATTCACCCATTTTATAGTGATATCACAACGTCCGGCCTTTCATGATGTGTTCTAACATAAGGAGTAATTGCCTATGCAATTATTTCGAGGCTTTCTTAATCTATTTTTTGCTAATATGTAAACCATGCTACAGGGTTGTGGCAGGCGTCGTCTTTGTCATCCCATATACTGTTACGAATTTTATGAATTTTTAAAATAATGTTACACACTGAGGCTGGGGTAGAAAAGTTAAAGCAAGAAATGTAATAATAAAAAACAAAACAGTTGATGTGCAGTTTCTCAAAGGGCAGCGGAACCTCTTCAAGGCTTAGCGCTATCTTGAATATACTTCAAGATATATTATATATATATATATATAATGACGTAATGCTAGTTCAGTATGGAAACATTACTATTAAGGTTACCATTTATCTATTTGCTTGGAACACACTTGCTTCACTAAACAAATGAGGCCGAAAATGTGCATACACTCGGCTAATGTCAATCTAATCTCTTCTGCTTAGTCTGAAGGCCACCAACGCTGTTTTTTTTTTTTCTGGGGGAATCACGGCCGTTGTTTCTGAACGATATCACCGTCCCTTATCAGACAGTAGCAGTACTCCTA